GAGAAGCATTTCCTTCTTTAAAAAATGAAGATAGTACAGGCGATCAGGTTAACTCACAGGTGGTCGTTGCAAGACTAAGGAAGTATCTTGAAAATATATCGGGTATTGATTATTATTATTATTATTTCTTTATGATTTTTACTCGCTTGTGACTTTATCGAACATGCCTTCTGAATTATAGCCTTGGTAAAAGACGTTCACGAAAAGCTAAATAAAGAAGTGCTGGATTCAAAAAGTATACGAGAGTCTTTAAAAGAAATTCAGTGTGATGTCGAGAAATTTTTAAATTTGCAACAAACGGCTCGTTATTACGAATTGGCCGATGAAATCGATGAATTAGGTAAAAAGAAATGAAAAAATGATAGTTGTATATCATCCAATAATCAATTAGTGAACTACCACTTACGGTTGAAGAAATCACAATATAGGTGTTGGAATATGGAATTCATCAATCACTTTAAAGGCAAGCCGTTCTTCTAATGGAACTGTGACCGACGATGAACTTGTAGCTTTATGTAAGTTATAAGGAAATGTTGAGTTTGATGAATATACTAATTATTTCGGTGAAGTTCGTCAGGTTGGATTTTTCATGGTCAAAGCTGGAGTCGAAACGAGCGCGGATATTGATGCAAAAAGTAAGAATATATTTTCTATAAAATTTATCAACATTCAAAGATTGATCTTTCTAAATTTATACAGACGCGGCAAAACTGCTTACATTGGCTAACAAAGTTGGTAAAGCTTGGCTGGGTGAGTGAAGATGCATTTTATTATGTTATATTGCGTAAATTATCTAACACCTATTTCTTTAGATTGCGGAAGGAGCGATAAAGCAGACGAATTACTGCGTTCCGTCTCTTTGGTAAATCTTTGGAATTTAACGGAATATTAATTATTTGATTCATCGATACATTGTATTTTAATGATTTCAGTTTGAAGATGCAGTGCTTTCATGGGAGAATTCAGCAAAAGCAAAAAATCCAAAGTCAACCGCTTTGGTCGTGTATTACGCGTATCGCGCCGAAGCAGTAAGCCCTAAATCATTTTCTTATGATTGATTCAATAATTATTACAGTATAACCGATGTTTTGTGAGCTGCAGGCATGGAAAATGGAAAATAGTCACGTTGCGAACCTAATGATTCAACATGCTACTGGTAATTCGTTTGTTCTAACAATACTTCATACTTGCAAAATATAATCAATTTAATACATTTTGTAGAAAAAAAGTACTTGGATAATGTTACGACAAAGGAGGTAATTATCTTCATATATCAGCACGTGTCTATACTTCTACTAAAATATTGTTTGTCTTTCGTCAGGTCGATATTTTGTGCCGAGTGTGCTTTACAATTGGTAGTCAAGCATCTCGCGAAGGAAAAGCGAGCGAAGCAATAAAATGGTTAAAGAAATGCCATGAACTGATATCTGACTACGTCCCGCAGACAAATTCTGAGAGAACAAAATTATTGGTAAGAAATCGTTATACAGTATACGGTAATAAAACCTGTGCAATTCGTGATCATCATACTTTTTTTTTTTTGATTGGGTAGACAAACACATTAAACGCATTAGGTAAGTGAATAGTCAAAGTAGATATGTGCCTATCAACTTAATATTTGTTTTTTACTCCGCAGCCACGTGTTATTTGAAGAATTCTGTGCATGACGAATCTAATATGGATCTTGCCGAGAACGCGGTTAATTTATGTTTAGAGGTGTGCACCATAAACCTTAAGCAAAAATTGCGACTCCATACATTAAATATATTTGACACCAGGAAAATCCAAACGATGTTTTGGCAAGCTCATTAAAACTTAAGATCATGAAAAAACGGAATAACAATCCAATTCCATTGGAAGAAGGTTTGTATTGTGATCCTGATTGAAGCATACAACCGTGTTTAATTACCATCATTCATATTTTTGAAGTTTATATAAAATTGATGAGAACGACTCAGGTGACAAAGGAAAATCTAAAAATGTGAGTGCGTCTAATTACATTATATGTAGACTTGAAAATATAACTTTGACTTGTTTTGGATGGAATTAATCTATCCCAACATTTTTAGCCTTCTAAACGCCGCACATGTTGTTAGTGAAGTAAAGTAAGAAACTTTTGTTTATTGTACTCATTTGCGGATAACTGTCAGCTTAGATGTTTGGATTGTTATTTTTAATTCACAGCGTGATGATGGCCCTTCGAGGCATGGACATTTTCATAGAAGAAAAACTTTCAGAAACAAGAAATATTAATTACATCGAAAGGACTATTGTCACAAAGTTTCATATTTTGGGAGGAATCGATTTAGGAGATTTTGAACTCAATGATGCCATCAAAAGCATTGAAGTGACGCTTGGATGTACATAAATTTTTTATTCTCGTTGAAAAATGCCGCGCATATAAAGTACTAATTGAATTTTACTCATCTTAGTCGAACAACGACACGGGATTGTGATTGGCCACAAAACAAAATTAGCTTGCCAAACGGTGTGTTCCTGTAAACCTTATGATTTTGATTCACCCTTAGCCTAATCAAAAGAAATATCCACTTAATTAGATACTTTGGCAAAATGGTGACAAGAATTACTCGGTGAGTGTGCTGCTCTAGTTGCTGCATAATGTATCACAAGTTTACTTACCAGACATAATGCTGTCGCTTTCCAGAATCAGAAATACGACCTCGCAAGGAAATGGTATCTAGCTGCGTATAAGTGGATGACGGCTGGCCAAGTAGACGATCGCAATGCCGCAATTTTACAAAGGTTACCTTTTAATATAGATGTCTCGGAAATGACGGTACTGAAATGTTAACGAATTCTTCCAAGCAGAAAGATTGCACTATGTTATCTCGAAGCACACTTGCTCGCAGATGCAATTGAAGCTGTTCAGCATGCTAAAAAACACGAACGAAATTCTGCCGCAAACTTTTATATATTATACCACATCGAAATTGAAAGAAGGCAGATCGAAGAGGGTATGTTAAATAATATAAACAAAAGTCAATATTTCTTCTAATTTTAATTTTTCGTCACCATAAATGCGTAAAATCCTTTCAGCAATTCGATATCTGCACGATATGTGCAAAGGTGATGGATTTCACGGAAATATGCTCGCGATGGCAGCCAACGAAGCCTATCAAAAAGGTCATAAAACGATTCTGGTTGAAGCGTTGAAAGAAATCTTATCCAAGCATAGAAGCGGCGAAGACGTGGCTCATATTGATGTGTTCGTTTTATTGAGGTAAATATTATAATAACCTTATTTTTTTTAACAATATAACCTAAAACATTTTTCTGACAAATTCTTAGGTGCTTGATAAGGATGACTCACGGGTCACTTTTCGGAAGTGAACCTGAAAAGTAATATCTTAAATTATCTTACGTGCGATGATATTCAATTTATTAATTATATCTATTCTTAAATTTAGAACTTCACTCAAGGATTGTATTTGTAGTTATTTTGAAATTGGTAAATTTTTCACGTCTGTAAAACTAAAAATTTAATCTTTATATATCCTATCCTGCACAACTAAGCAAAATTATGCTATTATAAATTTAAACAACAGCCTTTGACCTTCTTGAATCGAACTATGGCGACAAAATTGCTCAACATGGTGAAGAGGATGAAAATCTGTCAAGAAAATCCAAAGTACCATTGAAGGAACTCGAATGGTTTTTCAAGACTGGTCAGCCATCTAAATTGTGATCGTGTGAAATCTATTCTAGTTTGCGCCTAACAAATCAACGCTTCAAAATATAGCGTGGAATATGGGCTTAGAATTTTGTCAACAGGCAGAGGGAGGTAGCGACTTGTTTTCTATTCGATTATTCGACGTCGTATATAAGGTACGAGTTGCATATAAATATACTTTTTTTTTTTTATTAAATACTGCGTTCTTATTTCGCACATAAACATAGTTTCTTTGCGAATACCCGGAAGAAACTATTGAATACACGAATCAAAAGAAAATCTGCGTGTTTGCCTCCTTGTGTGGTAAATTATTTCTTGCACGACGACAAAAATCAATATCTCGAAAGGCAAGTTCATCGAAAATTTTGAAGGGATTTTATCTTGACAGATATTATATTGCTCATGCTCTTTCTTCTTTTTCAGCGAGACCTGTTGCAAGCAGCTCTGACTAGTATTGACCAATATAAAAAATTAAAAAAAGTATTGGGAAAGCGGAAAAGAGATGACGCTGAAGAAAATAATTCATCGACACAAAATGATGCAATACTTGTTATCTTATTCGAATTTGAGGCAAAAGTTAGATTGGGACTTTGGGATGAATTATTAAAAGTTCTTGATGTAATTATCTTTTGACGACAAATTATCCTTTTGGGAGAGTTGATTATGTTTTAATATTATCTTTCATTGAAACATATTTAGGCGGCTGAAGCACATGACTTTGAAATACCATCGAAGATATACGAACGCATGACGGAATTGCTGATAAACGAAGAGGGTTGTCCAAGCACAGGTACGGCTGTAATCTTCAATGCATAAGTTTTCTATCCGCAAAAATAAATAAAGTTAATGATATAATATATTGTAATTACTTTATCTTTTTTTTTATAAAAAAAAGTTGTATTTTCAACATTGCAGGTACATGACGAAAACCTAACTTTCATTCGAACGATTGATATCTAGATAGAATCTCAACGATCATACGTTTTCACCTTATTTTAGGTCTTGTTAAACTCCATTATGAAACAAAAATATGTTGATATCGAGCAATTTTCAAGATGGTTTCGAATGTTAATAATAACCGCGATGGTTAAAGATAAGTCAGCAGCAATGCAATATTTTGATCAAGCATTGGATATTCTAAGCCAGGGATGCTCAAAGGTATAGGGTTCCGCTTTTTTGTTTCTTACAAGTGATTTACTAAACTTGTTTCTCATTTTGTTTAGGGAAAGTATCCCGAGGAAGAAATTCAATGGCTAATGGTAAATGCGTGGAATTGCGGGATTGATTATTACTCGTAAGTAACTACCATTTGGAACTCCATTCTTTGAATTATTAATAGTACGCGTAACTCTAAACTTTAGATCCAGCGACTATACAAAGGCAAAGAAATGGTGTGAATGTGCAATTTCTTTTTGTAAGTTTCTTAACAATGGATTGTTATACGAGGAGGAGGTAGGGTAATTTTGATGCTGCTTTAATATCCCTTCAAACACTTGTTTCAGACTAATCGGTTGGTTGCTCATATGATGATAGATGAGGAAATCATACGATGAAATTATCAAAAATTGTGATATTGATTTAATTGACGAGGCTTGAATATTGACTATAAATATAAATCATGTGATCTTTATTACGTACGTATGTTTAAAAATAATTCGCTAAAGGCGTGAAATAAATTGACCGAAAGTTTAATTGATATAAAGTATTCGTGTATAAATGCACACTATTTGTGTTCGGAATATAATATATAGTATAAAAAATGGCTTAAGGCTTATTTATGGTTAATTTAAAAATAAAGATTCTTCTATGGTATTGTTCTTTTTTGATTATTAATGAAACTCTCGTCCCGTGATCACTACTTTGATCTTGTTGCAATATTTACAAATACATTTTCAAATGCATGTCGATTGTTCTCAAAGGGAAGATCCGGATCGATCCCGTACTTAGAGATTGCATCGTTATCCACAACGTCAAAAAAGTCAACTGAGGAAATGACCGCCGCAATTAAAATGGCAGCCAATCTTGGTGCAAAATTATCAGCTGCTATGCACTGCATTGGCCCAATAGAGAATGGAATGTAGGTGCCATCTTTCTTCGCTATGTGATTTTCGAATCGTTCTGGTTTAAAGCGAGAGGCATCATTTCCCCAGATTAAGGGGTCACGATGAATCGCTTCCACATTTATTGAGTATTTGATTCCATCTTTCACTCGATGTATATGCCGCGTTGCTGGATATAATCTCAATGTTTCTTTAACAATATAATGTATTAAATTCTTCTTTCGTAATGAGTATGATGGATTATCTAGTAAAAATTTTGCGTCCTTGTCAATGTCTTCTAAGAAATTATCTTCCGTTGTTTCCTCTGGTTTCTTATTGTTTTTTTTCTTCAACAACCCCCTCACTTTTGTTTCTAAAATAGCATACAAAAGAACCCTCCACATTGTCTCATATGCTGGAAGCAAAATGTTCAACGAAGATCCTAATTCTTCTGCGGTAGGCTTTATAAAGCAGGATTCAATCTGTGGTAGACTCTGAATATTATCCAAATGTTTTTGCGCAATTTTTAAAATCTCTCGAAGCACATTTGGAGCATTGCCAGTGTCATCTTCTTTGCCTTCTTGTTTCTTCAAGGATGCACTGTGAAGGTAATTCTTTAATGAACATTTTAATTCTTGGATTGACTGCTGATTATTGTTGAATTCCTTTGATTTGGTCCAAATATCGTTTATAACTCTAGGAACATCACTGACCTCCTCGTATATGTTGGAACCAAATCCTAGATAACCACGCAGTATAACATTCAAGGTTATTCTTTGGACCCAGGAAACAAGTTCAACTTTATAATTCCCAGTTTTTTTTT